ATCTAGGGTAAACATTAGAATGAACAGTTGTTTTCACTGTATCTAGGGTAAACGTTAGAATGATCAGTTGTTTTCACTGTATCTAGGGTAAATGTTAGAATGAATAGTTGTTTTCACTGTATCTAGAGTAAACATTAGCGTGAATAGTTGCTTTCTAAAAGTGTTTTGGCCTTGAAGAAATCATGGTGGAAATCAGTGATTGTTTTCTGTGATTTATGGAGTTGTTTTCTGGAGCAGCTTTACAGCCTTCGCATGACTTTGGTCACAAGACGCCTCTGGCACACCTGAAGCTCTTGGATTATTGGGCACAGCAAACAGTACATAATAAGGACTGAACTAGCAGGGCTGTGAGCCTTTCCTTCAGACAGACATATGAATTAGAATAGGGACTTTGGTATGAGGAAATATTTTACCCAACAAACAACTTTGTGTAACCATCAATAAAAACTCCATCAGAGGCTGGACCTTCCTGCTGCCACACAGGCCTAAAATTCATCTTGGAGTGGCCTCTTTCTTTGATTGACTCACATAACACAGAACACCCTGACAGAGTGCTAAAAACTTAGAGCCATGCATCCTTCCAGTCCCAAGTGAGGAGTTTATTGACTGCCCCTCGACAAGTTGTTCTTGGGAAACATACTGTCTCCGTGTTTAGTTTTGGTCCCTTCAATGGTGCCTGAAGTTTTCTAACTTTGCCCGCAGAATAGGAGAGCCGGATGTATTAGCTCAGGAGGCTGTGGGTTTAAGATGCTGCCCACTCTTAGACACCAGATCTGGCAGCCTGAGACATCAGGGAAGCAGTTGCGTGCTTGCTTGTCTGAGTGCTCTCCCCTCTCTCTCTCCCAACCCCCACCCCCATCCTCATCCCTCCCCACCCCCACCCCATACAGAAAGTAAAGAAGCAGCTCTGATGTACAGTGGCCTTGTAGTACAATCCCTTTGGATCTCAAAGAGAAATGTGTGCTCTTTTGCAGTACCTGGCTCCTTGGCGGGTGGCCTGCATCAAAATTAGGTGTGAAACTTCCAATTTAAATTAGGAAGGCCTCCCAAAATTTCAAAGTTCAGATTCCCACTTTGTTGTGAGGTTCCTCTGAAGTTGTCCCTGTCTGTCTTGGGTCCAGTGCTTGCGCTCAGTCGCGCTTTCTTGCTCTCTCTGCTCTGTCTCTTAATGAAGCTAGAGGATTTGGAGGGGGCAGGATCTCCAGTAACTCAGATGGATTTCAAACTTGCTATATAGCTAAGACTACCCTTAATCCTGATCCTCCTGCCTCCATCCTCACCTCCCCAGTTCCCCACTCCCCACCTCCATAGCCCCACATCCTCACACCTACACCCCACCCTCATGTCCTAGGTTGACATACTTCAGTTAACAAGAACAGTTAGCCAGAAGCAGAACTACAGAAGCAAAGTTAGTAAATTTAGAGACTTGCCCAGAACTATGGACTTTGATGGATTAGGTCTTTAATTTCATTTTTGGCAAGTGGTGCTATCTTCATGCTGAGTTTTATGGCTGGAATGGTGGTACTTCTATCATGGAGTCAGTTGTGCTAAGGGGTGGAGTCATTTATACTTTTAGTAAATGATGTTGTGAGGTGGTTTTATGAGGGGAATCATGAGGTCTAGGAAAGGAGAGTACTAGACAAACAAAGTTGTGCATTATTTTAGCCCTCAGTGGCACAGCTGTGGGCATCACAGGGACTTGGAGTGGGTAATGGTAGACAGAGACACAAAACTCTGGGTTCTCTTCAAGAATGAACAATTGTTATTTTCCCACTGCTGTTTATATATGATTTCGCTAGCTACCAGAAATCTCACTACAGGCAGAGCTTGAGCAAAGAGTCTTTTGTCCCCCTTACCAGAGTTCTTCCCTCTGCCCTGCCCTGCCCTTGTGGCCTTGTTTTGCCCTGGAGGACATTCCTCCTAAAATCTGAATCTTGTACCTGCAGTTTTCCCTCAGTCAAGGGAACACATCTGGGTCAGTGCTTGAGAAAGGAGCCGCAGACCATCTGGACACCAACAATTCTGTCTCTGTTGAATGGAAGGTTCCTCATTTAGATGCATAAAAGCATATATACATTTTTTTTTTCAGACTGACCTACAGATTCAATGCCATTACAATCAAAATCCCAACCAAAGGGGTGACTGCCAGGCTAGGGCCAGAGTATCCCACCATCCATTCTATCTGTGCACACTGCGTGGGGTGTGACAGTCACCCCTCAATGAGTACCACAAGAATGCCTTCAGTGGCACCAATCATGGCTCCCAGAGTGAGGACTCGCTGTACCTGACCACAGCCAACGAGTGGGGGTTCCAATCACCCACAGCAAGTATGGAGTGACAGGAAATGTAGGGCTCCACAGGGTCTACCTGGAGCTACATGCATGGAGTCACTCTGCAGAATCATGAGTGCACAGGGGAGATGCAAGACTTTTCACAGACACAACCAACCCAGAACCCTGTCTGCCTGGGAGGTCCCTCTGTGGTGTCTGTGCAATTCCAGAAACCTGATCAAAGGTTCAAGATCTGCTTTTGTTCAGTAGGCTTCCAAGGAGGTCCCTGAACATGAAGAAGACAGTTTTAGCTTCATGCAACAATGTTCTTTGAGCTCTGGGGAAAAAAAATCACAGTTAAACTAACTTGCATCATTGTGCAAATCATCTTTCCACTGTTTGATAGACACCTGAGACAAATGGCTTGAAAGAAGCAAAGATTTAGTTTGATTCCTACTTTCAAAGATATCAGTCCATGGTCAGTTGGTCCCTTGTTTGGGGGTCTGTGGTAGAGAACAGAGCATGGTGAGAAGCACGTGCTAATCAAAGCTGTCAAGTTCATAGTAGAAGAAAGGGGGGCAGAAAATGGTACCTGGGGTCCCAATATTCCCTTCAAGGACTTGCCCACAGTGTCCTAACTTCTTTCTGCTGAGTCCTGTCTCAAAAGATTACCATCCACCAACAGCACCACGGGCTGTGGGCAAGAATTTATTACATGAGTCTTTCAGAGATATTTAAAACCTGGCTCATAAGTTGGGTGTGGAGGGTGCAAGTCTATAACCCCAGCACTCGAGAGGCTGAGGCAGAAGGATGGCAAATTGGAATCCCTTCTGGGCTTCCAAGAAAGTTAAACCAAACCTAGACTACAGAGTGAGACCCTGACTCAACACTTCCTAAGCAACCCCAAAAGATGAGTCCCTAAAACCAGGTCACTATGACAATATTGTAAATGCTGTGCACTGTCGTTTCCATGGACAGCCCTGCACTTGGCAGAGCCGTGGTCAAGACTCTGCTGGCACTGGGCATCTGCCAGTCAGCAGGTTAAGAGCAGTCATTGCCACAGGATCTCAGGGTGGAAGAAGTTCCCCCTGTTGGACACCTGCTCTCACCAGTGGACTCTACACCAAGAGATGTCTACCAAGGGGAGCAGCAAAACACTCACTGTGGCTTTTATGACAAATGCAGAAGTATTTCTTGATATGCCTTATGACATTGATCAAGTTTAAATAACTACTTACTGCTGGGGTATAATTCTGGGTGTACTTCATAACATCTGGAAATGTGCCTCTGATTGGAATGCAAGGGAAGTTTTTTTTTACCAAAGGATTTGGGGGGTTTTTTTTTTTTTTGAGGTTCTTTTCTTTTCCTTTTGGCCTTGGGGTGTAGGTCAGTGTCAGAATATTTATCTGGAGTGCACAAGGCCCCAGGTTCAAGCCCCAGGACAAAGACAAACACATACAAATTTACATGAACATTTGGTTTATTTTGATTAACTTTGGGTTATAGTTACTCATGAATACTAGATAGAGGGGTGTTCTCCTGAAGGTCCTTGATGTAAAACTAGACCATTTATACTAGTTCTTGAGGCAGATATGGGTAGTTTGAAATGTGCAAAGGAATCTTATACAGGAAATAATCAGAAAAATATTATGTGGCATGCATTAGCACAATTTTTGTTATTGTTTCTGAATACAGTTTTTAAAATTTATTTATTAACTTTAACTTAAGTGTTGGTATGAGTGTGTGTGGGTTTTGTGTGTGTGTGTATCTCATATGTGTGTATGCGTGTGTGTGAAACATGTGTGCAGGTACTAAAAGAAACCAAAAAAATGTGTCAGAGCTGGAGTTCTGTGCAGTTGTGAGCTCTGGGAGACAAACTAGAGTCCTCTGAAACAGGTGTCTGGAAGAGCAGGAAGTGTCTGTAACCACTGAGCCATCTCACCAGTTCCTGAAATTTATATTTGTGTGTATCTCAGGGTCTGTGTACATGTGTATGTACATGCCAACAGAGGCTATCTGAGGACCTGTGATCCCATGGAAACGGAGTTA